GACTGCCTCCCCTTTGGTTGACCATACCTTTGATGCCCATAAGCCCTGGTGACCAAGTCCCATCCTTGGAAATGTCCCTACCTCTCATCTCACATGCTCTCCCCGTGACTTGAGATCTCATTTTAGCACTACTTTTACCGACTAATGATGTCTAATGGAGGGCTCTCGTACATGAAAATATATTTTGAATTAAAACGGTCTTTATCTTAAAATTCCCATTATTAAATTCTGACCGTTTGTACAGAGTACGTGTACTTCTCGTATCTCCACGTCCTAGATCTCCGCAACTCCTTAAGAAGAAAATACGAAGGAGTTTTGTTCAATTTATCATGTAATAAATAAATATCATTAACTTTTTTTAAATTCAGTTCTTCTCATATTTCCACAATCTTGCCTAGATCCTTTGGTTCATTTTTGCGTCTTGTCCCCTCAATTCTTAGTTTCAGTTAAGCTTTTAAAACACTTGTATTGATGACCATGGATGTATTTAGTACTGGTTCTAACTTCTAATGGGGGTGTTGTTATGATGTCAAAGTTGAAGTTTTCGATGCATTTGGGAGTCTTAAAAAGGATGAATGTTTGAAATTCATGGCTTTTGGTTGCTTAACTATTCTGGGATTTGATGTTACCAAGTGGGTTTCGTTGGAAATTCAATTGCAAGTTAGTTGGCAACAAGTATCATATAGTATTAGATACACATAGGAATACACTGTTTTGTTGAGATTTTGTGATTTGGATCCTGCAGTTGGGAATTGGGTCCTCCTTCCTTCTGTTTTTGATAAGTAAATGTTGAAACTTGGTGAAAGTAGTTCACAAAAAGTTAGAAGTTATTATTTCAACAGTCTTATCGTTTGATTGTCTTCTTCTGGTGTTAATGTGTCATATTTTTGGTGATTCCTTCATCATTCTAGATAGGTGTTAGCCTATGGTTTGCCAAATGTTTCATTTTTCGGCACCTTGTGCGAATTCTAGGGATGACAGTATAAGTCTCGTAGATGTTAGCATATGAAGGAAATTAGAATTACTGTTCTCAGATCTAAGTTGTAGTTGGTACATGTGATTTGAACTCACAGCACTTCAGAATACACATGATGTCCGCTGAGGTTTTCAATTGTCTTAAAACGTTCCTTTTTGTTTCCCTTAATTCACTGGAATAGACGGTTCTTTGTCATTCTTGGTGATTAGGGAGCGTTAACTAGAGATTTAGAAGTCTACTCGGAGTGTCTTCGGATTGCAAAGAGAGGACAGAGAAGTAGAATCTTTTCAGTCATTCTTTCTGAAATATGAGGCATTCTGCAGCTGTATGGGATTATAGAGCAGCAATTGAGCATACCAAAGACTGGAGCGGTATGGACCAGGTCGTGCTCCGCAACCCACAAGGAGCTTCCGCGCGGGTGAGATTCTCTTAACTCGGTTTTTTTCCCATAGCTGTTCTGTTAAAGCAACGAATTCAGTAGTTAGGATTAATTTATTGATAATTATCGTTGTGTAATAGGAAATTTTTACAGTAAAGGAGATGTTATCTGTTGCTAATCTGCAGATAACTGATAAATAGATTGGCGAGGCATGCGTTTTCATAATTACTGGTTTTGTGATAACAGGTTAGTCTGCATGGAGGGCAAGTTTTTTCATGGAGGAATGAGCAAGGGGAAGAACTTCTATTCACAAGCAGTAAGGTATGTGCCTTTGCAAAATCTTACAAATCGTGCACTGTTTTCTTACGTCAATGTTGGTTTTGAGTAAGGCAGTATCCAGAAAGGGATATTTTCCATTGTATGGCTGTCCTAGTAGCAGAACTAAAATCTAAATGAGAAATGACTGGGAACTCTTCTTCTTCTTCTTTTCCCCTTGCCTTTCATTTTGATTGCACGAGAGCTTACATTACATGTTTAAATATGACTAGTCAAATTCATGGAACCATAATCATAGGACTCACTAGATTTTGAATTGCTGTTAGATTTTTAGTTTCTAAACAGGTTGTCATAGAGTTGTTCTAGCATAACAGAGACTTGCAGATGGCATTGATTAATAAATTTTAACTCTTAAGAGATCCAAGACTGATTCAATTATCTGACCTTTTCAATTATTGCAGGGGATCTTTAAGCCTCCAAAACAAGTGCGCGGAGGGATCCCTATATGTTTCCCGCAGGTACCTCTAAAGTTCCTCTTTTATATGCTTAAAACTTCATGAGTGAACATATCTTTACTTCTGTAAACTGCTTTAATGCTTGTGAAGTTTGGAAACTGTGGATCTCTAGAGCAGCATGGTTTTGCTAGGAGCAAGATTTGGACAGTTGATGACAATCCTCCTCCTTTGCATCCCAATGATTCCCATGGGAAATCCTTCATTGACCTACTGCTTAAACCATCTGAAGAAGACCTGAAGTGCTGGCCTTATAGGTAGGAACTTGGGTTTTTTATTTCTTTATGTGCATCGGAGTAAGGGTTCAATCTTGATGACTCGTGATTAATAGCCATGCTCATAGAATCATTTTATTGTGAAGAACGAGACTAAGTTTCTTATATCTCCCTGACTAAGATTTTAGTTTTAGTTTTTCGTTGTTGTTGGACTATTGCCATTTTGTGCAGACGGTCCATAATCTTGAATTACTGGTTTTTCAATAGTTAGCCTTTTATGTTGCAATTGAAATCTCCGAAGTCAAGACTATAATAACCCACTACCGAATAGTTCATTCCGAAAGCAAGGCCTCTGTTTGGGCAGAAGAGATCAAACACTGAGACACAGCAGAATCATTCCAATCACATGCACAACTACAATAGGAGCTGAACCTCTCTCTGTGCTTGCAATGAGTTTGAAGTGACTAGTGTTGGTTAATATGTCTCTGTTTTTTGTTTTGTTTTTCCTTTCAGTTTTGAGTTTCGTCTTCGGGTGTCACTTGCAGCAAATGGAGACTTGGCGCTGACATCAAGAGTTCGGAACATCGACGGAAAACCATTTAGTTTCTCGTTTACGTATCACACATATTTGTCAGTTTCTGACATAAGGTACGAAGTCTATTTACCCAAATGTCACACCTAAAACAAGAAAAGATTGTCCTTCAGCATGCTTTCACTTCTGGAAAACAACTTTTCACATTTTCCCGTTCCTTTTCTCTTTTCTCCATCCTTTTCTTCATCTCAAATGGTGGTAACTTTATAATGAAAGATGACCTTTTTTGGGTGGGTGTGTGTGTGTGGAAAGAATCATCAGAATCAATAGGAAAATGAAATTTCTTTAAGATTCCAATCAGATATTTATTGCTTAGCTATAGAAATAATTAAAAAAAGCATGGTAAGTAAATCTATTACCAAAAACATGTGAATACGATTCATGTATTGGGAATCCATTAAAAGTAGCCTAGCATGCATGCTTAAAATTTTTCACCCGATTTCAACAAGCATCCTTTGGAAAATGCACTGTTTGGACTCACTTAGAAGTGAATCTTTATATCAGTGAAGTGAGGATAGAAGGATTGGAAACACTTGACTACCTAGACAACCTTCAACAAAGACAACGATTTACAGAATAAGGAGATGCCCTCACTTTTGAATCTGAGGTAAATTCGACTATTAATTCTAATTTACTCCTATAGCCGTGTTAGAAATGAATGGATGGAACTGGTACTTAAGTTGACAGAAATGCTGAATCGTTTTTTATTAATTTCTTTTAACTGCTATCTATACTATAGGAACTGCCCTTCAACACCTTGGTGTTCATTTTCATGCAATTTCTGGTCAGCTTTCATCTGATTTTTCGACTGTTAGAAATGTTAGCAGTGCAGTTTTTTCCAAACTTTTTATGCTAGTTAATATTTTCTCAATGTAGAGTGACTAACACGAAGACAACAAAGCAACGCCACTTTTCAAGTCCCACCTTTTCCCCCAGAATCTTTCCACCTTAAATCTCTTTAGGAGACTTTGAGATCGACATAGATTCTGAATTAGTTTTTTATTACCAAATTTCTTTCAAATGCATTTGCATGGTCTCACACTCATTGTTTGCAACATGATGTAATCTAAATTCCCGGTTGGCATAAACCCCTTTTCCATCAGCTACTCACGTGGTTCTCAGGGTGCAACAATGGCTTCTTTAGCATTTTGTGTGTTTGTGTTTGTGTCTTCATTGATTTATTTCTCTACTGTCTGGATTTATCTGGCAGGTGGATCGAGTTTATCTCAGTTGTCCCAATGCAATTGCAATCCTCGATCATGGGAGGAAGAGGACATATGTTATTAGAAAGAATGGACTCCCGGATGTAGGTAAGTTGTGTTCAGTAAAACTGTGCATGCACACGATGCCTATGCACAGTTTTGTAAAAAGAGTAGAAAGTTATATGATACTCCACATTTTGGGTAGTAAACCTTATGATTTATTTACCGTTATTCATTCCCACAAACAGCGGTGTGGAATCCATGGGAGAAGAAATCAAAAGCCATGGCGGATTTTGGCGATGAAGAGTACAAAAAGATGTTATGTGTCGATGGAGCAGTGGTTGAGAAACCTGTCACCTTGAAGCCAGGTGAGGAATGGACAGGGCTTTTGGTGCTCTCAGCCGTGCCTTCAAGCTTTTGTAGTGAATACTTTGATCTTGAGAGACGAGGTCTTTGAGATGTAGAGTTGATTTTCTAGGGCAAAAAACGGACTGCTTAATGTAGTCATATGATAACTTGCCTTAAGTTTGCCCCTTTTTTTCAGAATTATTACCGCTTTTTGTTGATTATCATAACGATTTATATGTTACCAGTCATCCGAACTTCTTATTTATCTTTTAAAGTATTGCCGACGGCAACCAGTGGCAGCACCTTCCCTGATAGCTTTCACCAATTAGATTGCTACCAGATCTTTTACGCGTTTCGCTGTGGAACATAAAAAAAAATGTAAAGGTGTTGCAAATATATTCTCTAGCACAAAAAGAATATTATGATAAAAAAACTCTGATGCAGCAGAATAACAATGAAACAAAAATAAGAGCATATTCTATTAAAAGACATAATTAAAATACATGGAAAACACATTTAATAATTCCAAGATTTCGATGTTTTTTTCAACAAAAATATGAATCGGCAAAGTTCAATAATAAAAGAGTTGACAATGTAACACTTCTATTTCGTATCAACCCCCACCAACAAATATATGTGGTTGTACATTCATCTTGTGCATCTTCCATCCTCATGCCCCATCCTACCCACTTTTGGCTTTGATGCTTCAACGTCTTGTAATTCTCAATTGATTGTCATGGGTTCTCATCATCATGATACTTACACTTTACATTTGGGTCATACCACTTCAGGTATAGTGGTCATATGGGATTTGATGGAATCAGAGCAATGTGCCCAATATTTCAAAGGTGTTGGTAAATAATGCTAAGTGATAGAGATATGTCAATATTAGCTAATGACACTTAGAAAGTTATTGGTGTTATGAAAATAGACGGTATTTAAGATGAGGTATAAAATGATTTTGATCCATATTCTCTATATGGGAGTCCTCTTTTGATTTGTTCGTTGACATAACATTAAATCTCACTATCGGATTCCTGATCCTTCCTGACTTCAAGCCTTGCTCCATCCTTTTTGCTGCAGTCCCTAAATCCATAAAATAGCTTGATGAATTGTTCATCAAGTAGCCGAAGCATGGAGCTTCTAAAATGACTAGAGTTATTGAGCTCTAAAGTCTCATTTTCAAGCAGAGAAGGGTAGATTTATGTTGTCATGTCATGTAGTCTCATAACATATTCCTTGACTAACTCATTACTTCTCATCCCCGTTCTTTAAAGGTCATACCTCGTTGGAATCACCATCAAGTTAAGTCCAATTTTTTTAAAACATGCGTCGGCCAAATATTCTCACTTCTCCATTTTAGTGCCATTCAAACCCATAAACCAACTTAAAACAAGTTCAACTAGGCTTTTCATGAAAATGATGGATAAAAAGTTACTCTTCATGGATAACTTCAGTCATTTTATTGTTGTATACTTTGAGATGGGTCTCTAGACATTGAGATCCTGCATACTTAACAAATTAGAGGACTCTAAACGTTTTTGGAATGCCAACATTTGGCTCGCAACATTCTTCATTAGTTGAAAATAGATCATATACGCCCTCATCTTTAACGACCTGATGCTTATTTGTGGTTATGTTGGATACTCTGTCTCTCTCTTAAAATGATAACCATCCATGGTGAATCATTTTATTAACCTGCTTTCTAAAACCTCAATAATGATCAATGGAATGTCTCATGGCTCTTGTATAGTATATATTCATATTTAGCATTCTTTTTATAACAGTAAGAGAAATGTGGCTGGATGAGTTTGAGTGGTAGATGTGCTATTATACAAGCATTCACAAGGTTGATTATTCACAATGTTTTCCTTTGTGGCTTGGACCTTGGGTATTTTGGAAAACATGATATTCAGGTCGAAATAAGGGTGGAGGCATTTGGGGCATTTGGTTTATAGTAGTTTACGATGTATTTTGAAGCATGATTGCAGGAGCCTTCAATACTCCCAGGGCATTTGAAGCAATAAATTGTACGTTTTGGCTAACATAGAATAACAGGGAGGAAGGCATGTCCCTAGTGAAGTTCATGTTATTAGTTTTTGTTTGTAGTGGTCCTCCCCAAAACCTTTCAAGTGAATGATCTATTTTATCACTTTTTTCTTAAAAAGTTGGCTTGATTCTGCCATGACTATGTTCTTTCTTTGTCTCCTATCAGCCTTCTCAGAATCTTTTAAGGTATTATAGATGAGTTGGCCTTTGGGAACCTATATTTCACCTTCAAGAAATTTATCAAAATAAAAGTTGATAATTTATTTATAGGATAATACTGTTTATACTGTTAATGCTACATAAAAGTCTTATTGCTATTCAAACTATTACAAAAATAAAAATATTACTGTTTGGAAAGTGGCATAATCAAGCAATTTAAAATTGGCATAATCAACAAGACTTGCTCGAAAAGTCTTGATTACTCGAAAAGCGGCATATTCAAGCAGAAGATTTTTCATAAAAATAAAAAAGTATAATTTACCTGTCACCTTTTGGAATTGAATTTATTTATACTGTTTGGAATGCTTGAGAATTGAATTAAATTAAAAATCCTGACTATTTTACTCTTAATTCAGAATTAAATCATTTCTTTTCATTACAAATCTCATCCATTGACCCCTCTCAATCTCCAATATCTGAAACTAGGATCACAAGTTTCTTTCAAGAGCATGGAGGAATGATGTCATTGCCATTAGATCATGAGTCTATTAGTAGTTTTTAGGATATTAAATGGATTAATATTTCTGGCAATTCAAAAGCTAAATACCACTAGCATGGAGAGGCTTACCTTTTGCGATTGCAAATGTTTATTTGCACACCCTTGCAGATTCAAGAAGAAAAGGTTATACTGGCAGGCAATACTTGAAATCTTTCAAAGCACCCACAGTAAAGTTGCCCCGTGCTCTTAAACATTCAATGGAAAAGTTGGGAACCTAAATCCCACTAAAAGTGTATTTACATATACCCATAGTAATGAAAATCGTTTTTTTTTTTTTTAATTTTATGTATTACTTTTCATTTTTTTAATTGTTTCATACTTTTTTGGTACCAAATAATAATAACAATAAATTTATTGCTTAATTTTCCACCTTTAAAAAGGAAATCAGGGTAAAAACTCTCTGTTTGGTGATTAGCTGCCTCACAGCAGCGATTAATTTAGTATTCAACCATCTCAAAAACAGCAGAACTACAAAAGAAACAATAGTTTTTTAAAACTTTATGCCAAGAAGCTGAAATTTGATGAGGTGGTTAGAGATAATTAAGCATACCCGTCTGCTTTGGCTACGACATCAACTTGTGCTTTGAGTTGCCTCATCTGAGAAGATTAGTGAGCGAAATTAAATATGAAAAGACAACTAAGAAGCAAAAGAGAATGGTATATGAGTGGATTGTACTTCCATGGGGCGGCGACCGTCCTGACGATGACCTTCAAGGTTCGCGAACTCCATCTTTGCCAACAGTGGAGTGAGCCGCGCGAGAGAGCAGAGAATAGAACAAGAGCTGTGTTCTGTATTGATTTACTGAACAGATACGACGTCGTTGTTGGTTAATAACATCCAGTATGCTTCTCGGGGAAAGGGGGACAGGCCGAGGCCGGTAAATATGGCCCATTTACTAGCCCATCTGCAGCCCTTGCTATTACTTACTTTCTAGGCCCATACGTAGTTACATTTGTAAGCAGCCTGCTATTTCTCTCTTTTATTTTCCTTTTCTTTTCTTTGTTTACACTTCTTAACATAGTTTTTAGACCAGCTTCTGTACAAGACCCGGGTTACTGGTTTTTAATCAGGTTATTAGGTTTTTTGGATTAATTGTTTTTTAGAAAAATCAAAATGGTATAGTTTTAATAAAAATAAAAACAAAAATTAATAAATTTTAACCGAATCTTATAGGCTAACCCATCAGATCATAGCAAAAAAATTCTTTTTATATATTTTTTAATTTAATTCAATTCTAGTTCTGGAACTAGATCAAGTTTTAAAACTATATTTATTAAAATTAGAATTTCATTTAAAGGATTACCAGTCATTGGATACATCTTCATTGTTTACAAATGTAAATCTTGTCTGAAAATTATTAATAAAAATATAAAGGAAAAAAAAAACTTATGAATGGTTCCTTCATATATCAATTGATGGAAAGTGTATTAGGATCATATTGAACTCTTAAATAAACAGTTTGTCTTCTATTTTTATTATTTTATTGTAAGTATTTATTAATGATTGATTAATTATGATTGATAAACTTCATTTTACTCCATAAATAAATAGTGGTAATTACTTTATAAAGAGAAATAGATGTAGAGAGAAGGAAAAAAAATAGAAGAGTGACTCAAAAAACTAATTTAATTTACTCGCCGCCAACCATATTGATAAAATATATATGCATTGAATAAAAACAATTATCTTGGCTGTATGCCTTTCAAGGATTCATTTTATTATTATCATATAATACACAATCCATAAAAACAGCCTACATGATTGTATAAATAAATAAAATATTTTAATTTGTAAAATCTAAATTAAATTAAAATTTTAAATCTAAATTGAAAAAAAATCAAAAATAAAATCTTAATTAATAAATTCCGAGTATAATTTGAATTTAAAAATAACACCCGATTATCAAGCTGTTTTTATATAATTAGTTCTTTGAAGCAATATTGATTTTTTAAAAAGTTATATGTGTTTTTATTATAATAGGATTGGGTTGATTATTTTCAAAATTTAAATAATTTTTGCAACTAAAGAAATAATTAAAAAAAAAAGAGTTATATATGTTTTCATTATGTCTATTTTATGACTAACTTGGTTTGTTTATTTGAAGCGAGGTAAGATGAAACCACAAATCACCACTTCAGTTGCATGGTCGATGGAAAATAAACGTAGCCTAATTTAAGGAACATTGCTGAGAGAGACAAAAATATTACCTCCACAAGTGAAAGGGACAAAAAAGAAAAATAAACGACAGATAGAGGGGCCAGCCTCCAGCGGAACATTTTCGTCGCGGTACATACAAATCACCATCCCGCCATGACGTGGCGCATGAATCCTGCAAGCTGAATTCCTGCCACTGATACCTCAAGCTTCTACCAGAGACAACGCCCCTACCCCTGCCTCCCTCTCCCTCTCTCCCTCTCCCTCCCTCCCTCCCTCCCTCTCTCTCTCTCTCTATATATATATATATAGAATGACCATGTCCTCGTGAATGTTCAAAAAACATTTTCCTTCTCTTAATGATCTCACGCAAATTTCAATTTTCTCAGATCCCACTGCAGATCTCCTTTTTCCCCGGAATTTGAAATCTCAGCAAGAAATTAACCTGATCAACGTTACTTCTGCCATTTATCAGTCAAGGTAATTTTGCCTCAATTCTCCGACATTTTGGTGCGTGCGTCGAAATTTAAGGGTTGCTTAGTTGATTTTTTGAGACTAATGATGTATTGATCAAGTTAGAACTTGAATTGAAGTCCTGGACTTTCTTCCTGGTTAAATCATTCTTTTGATTTATAGATAATTTCTTGACAAACAGAACAGTCCAAATTCAAGATTGCTATCAATGGCCGGCAAGCCAATGAAACCAGTTCTCCAAAGACCACCGGGTTACAGAGACCCCAACCTCCAGGCAAAGCCTGCCCCGAGACCGCTACCCACAAAGGCATTGCTGCCTCCTTCATTCCAACCAAGGAAAAGACGGTCCAGGCATTGCCGTCTATGCTTATGTTGCTTAATCCTTCTCCTTATTATCGTCATTCTCCTGATGATTATCGCAGGAGGTCTATTTTACCTGTGGTTCGATCCAAAACTCCCCGTTTTCCACCTCCAATCTTTTAAATTCTCCGCTTTTAACATCACCAAGAGATCGGATGGCACGTACCTTACCGCCAAAATGGTTGCAAGAATCGAAGTTAGGAATCCTAATGAAAAAATCATCTATCATTTTGGAGAGTCTAAAGTGGAAACGACAGCGGGAGACGACGAGGTTAATTTGGGATCGACGACCTTGCCTGAGTTCACACAGGGAAAAGAGAATACGACTAGTTTGGAAATTGAAACCAGTGTGAACAATGAGCTGATCGAGGATGGAATTGGATCGAAGATTCTTGATCAGTTCACGAGCAAAAAACTGAAGGTGGATATGGATGTGAAAACGAGCATTGGAATTGATGTTGAAGGGGTGAAGACAGGGTTGCTGGGAGTGGAAGTTCTGTGTGGAGGTGTAACGTTGAAGGAGACCAATACTGAGATGCCAAGATGTATCATAAGCACGCTTAAATGGTAAGTTTTCTATTTCTTTCTGATTTTTATTTTTTAATTTGTTCCGTGAGAATTTTAGAGATTAGAATAGGTTTCGAATGCACAAATTAAACTTTGGGTTTGGTTTAGGATGTGATTAGATGATTGGTAACTTTGAACTTCAAGCCTGATGTAGTTATAGATTTTGAGAAACGATAATGGCCACTTCCGTGTGATGATATTTCGGAGCGTTTTGCATCAAGAAAGACCCAATTGTCAGGTCTTAAAGAATTGAAGCCTGATGATCTTCACCTTCCTTGTCTTCTCCCCCCCCCCCCCCCATCCTGAAATGGTAAGAAACTGCAAGCTTGGAGTCTTATGACACAGCATACACAGGGTGAAATGGGGTCAGGAATCTTCACCTGCAGAATGAATTCATCATATCCATATATGTATCGCGATTGCCTAATTTCTCATCTTGGAAGCAGACATTTCATGCATGTATCGATTAATGAATCGACAGTGCTGATTAAGATTGTTGCTTCGGGTGCAGGATTAACATCCGATAACAAGAAGTTGTCTGCAGGGCTGATGGTAAGAATCAATGAGACTGGAAATCAAATTAACGAAGCAATTTATGATGGTAGACAAACAGATGTACCTGTAACCGAATTATATGGCATGCTAATTTTATATTTTTTACATTTACAATTACAAAATATATATATTATTTACTTATTAGAGGGTTATTAATGGAAGAAGGTGAAGATTAAAGATTCATATAATACATAAATGGTGGTTGGACCTGGTCAGGTTTTTTATTTGTCTCTGGATCTCTGCTCTCCCCCCCCCCCCCCCCCTCTTCTTTGTGTTCTTCTATGGAAGAATATCCTCTTGTGATAGAGCTGCAAAGGAGGTTCTTGGATTCCTGATTTTGCTGACAGGTTGCCATAATTGCGTTTGTTTTTGGGTTTTTTTTTTTTTTTTAACCTGCAAGGAAAAAGAAAAGGAGAAACAGAATCAAAATGAAACGAAGCGTAAGGCGTGAGATGTTAGTTTGCTTTTTCAGAGTTAGGTTAGGAATTTAAAAGGTGGATGGAGGGCTTAGGGTTAGGGGCAACTGTCAGTGTGTCTGCTGCCTCGTTATTGTGCTTTGTGACTCTGATTAAGATTTTCCTGCATTCTGAAAGGTTTTCGCACGCAACTAAAGGGGGACGATTTATAGATGTATTTTAAAATGTGATTGTCAAAAATATAATATTTTTATCGTGTTTTAGTTTATGCTTGGAGGTTTACAATGAATTTAAATCAAATTTACTCTTTTTACCCCTGAAAATTAAATTATGTTATTTGGCAATGAATTATTGTTTCTCTATCCATTTGTGTCCATAATCATAATCATGCGTAAATTATATTAGTTATAGGTACCAAGTAAATTATATATTTATTAACAATTACACAACATTACATTAATGGTTTTGATACCAGATCTAAAAAGTTTTTTTATTAGAAAATTACTCAAATTAGCCAATACTATGACTCCCCGCTATAGTTTAAATATCCTCTTAATAAATTAACAAGTTTTTTTTATTTACATAATTATTATTATTATTTATTTAATTGCAAAAGAACCATTGAAGTGTTCCCTCCCTTTAAAATGCACATTCCTTCCCCCATTACAAATCCACCCTCATCTCTCTCAAAAAAAGAATTCCCATTTCCCTTCCCTCTCTATCAAAATTCACCAACTTGTCTAATTTGATTCAACTCATTGAGTCATGAAGCTGATTTAACCCTTACCACCACAACCCTTTCCTTCATCAATCATCGCACCAACAATAGCAGACCGCTGCCACCTTGACCTAACCCTCCCACTCCCTCAGCTCGACCAGTAGCTTGCTAACCCCCTCCTTCCCACATCCAACTCCAATGGCTCAAACTCTTTTTTCTTTAAACTCGATCAAATCAACCTAATTGAAAGTAGTACTAAATGCACCATCTACAAAGTCATTCACTGTATATGGTTAGCCCTCATTTCTATTTCACTTATAAGAGTCATATCTGCTTTAAATATTTTTCATGAAACACAATGTTTTTCAACATTTTCAGGGTAGGAGGAGAATTTGAGCACAAAAAAGCTTTTATAGATTGAATTGTGATCCTTGTCAGAGATAACTATGAAGTAAATAAGGTTGTTGCTTTATTTATATGGATTCAATGAGAATTGTGAATGCACTTGGCAAGAAGCAAGAGAAGAAGATTTTTTGGTGATAGAAGCAGAAACTAATTAATTACTTGGGTGGTTGTTCGCAACAATAAATTCAAGTTGATCTGGATATTTATATTAATAAAAAAATTATATTTAAAAATTATTTATCCATTAAAATTTTACAATCTAATATAAATGATATAATTTGTACAAATCCAAATTCTTCTATAAATTGGATTTTTTCTATATAAAAACCACACTTTGGTATATTTGAGTAGCTTCAATTTCTTTCTCAATCACAATTAATCAAACGAATTTCAATGGAGCCTCTATTTTACTAATTTTATATATATACAGGTTAACTCGTATATATAATTTTTATAAAAAGGTTATTTTAAAATCCATATAAAAACTCACATGTGACTAAAAAGATAACATAATCAAGTAATCTTAGGATGAAGAAGATGTTTGTCTTGCGAAGGCTAGAATCAACACTAACATGTATCCAATATGTGAAAATAAACAAAAATATAAGGTATATTAAAAAATAATTCATGGAAACTACAATGAAAACAAAAGGTTTGTATCTAAATGTACATCAAGTTCTTTAATGCGTTATTGGTCGACCACTCAATTAGCAATGAATAAGTTTTGTTCACACTATACTCAAATCAAAAATAAAAATCAAAGTGGTTTCACCTATAAAGACAAGATATTGTTTATATGAAACATATAAATTTAAATTCACTTATAATTTTTTAAGTAATATATTATGATGTGCTTTAATTTATTATTTTTTAAGATTGCATATAAAAGAATTCAATATCAACTATTTTTATTTCAACATTGGTGGGAGAAATTGAAGACAGCCTAAATAGATGATTGAAAATTCAATAAAGAAGTCCAAAAATGCTAGAAATGTATCTCCCACACGACTTATTCTCCTCTTACTTAAAATTCAATCAACTTAAAAGAAATTAATGTTGTACTCGATGGACGACTATAAAATTAGAGATCACAATATGTAGAAAGTAGACAAAAAAGCATACTTAAAAAAAGACAATAGCAGCACAAGTTCTCATGTTGGATTGATCTTGAAGGATTACAAAGAACATAAAATAAAAATGAAATGCAAGAAGATAGGATATTTTGAAAAAATTATTTGCTCTAGAGGAAGAGAAAGCAAAAGCAAAACATGAAAATACAAAGATAGAATGAGACAAGATTGTTATTATACACGAATTTTTTTTATTGAAACAACAATAAAAAGATGAGAGAATAATTTTGATAAATAAAGCAAACATGCTTTTACATTTGATTGAATATCATGAGATGTGTCAAATGGAGATGTTAGCTAAACGACAAAATAGTAGTTGTAATTAATATGCATTGTTTAAATTTTCATTATTTTTTTAAGTGCATGCATTTTTTTTTAATTTCTACCACAGTAAAAGAATTAATTTTTAAATATTTTATTAAATAATTAGAAAACTCATTAGCATATTTTGAAAGCAATAAATAACATGAAATAACATAGTTGAATATTCATTTTACATATAATTAAAAAAATAAAAAAAATATTCATGATTATCTATTTTAAAGAGCATGGTCACATGGTTAAGTGAGCTAGATAAAACAATTTTATAGCTATAAAATAAAGAGCGTGGGCATGGATGCTCTAACACTCCTTTCCTGAGCCCGTGACTAACCATTAGGGTCGCTTGTGTTCTGTGCCAGACGACAGCAATAATAGCCTCAGATTTTTAAACTTACCATTGCGTCGTCTCATTCATGGATCCAACATGTTAAATGTCATTTCATCTTTCGCTCACAAGGAGACTATAAAATTGATTCATTTTGATAAAGCTATTATTTTTTAAAAATAATTTTATTTAAAATTATATTAAAATAATATACTTTTTTATATTTTAAAATTTATTTTTTATATTAGTATATTAAAATAATCTATAAACACCTTAAAATTAATTTAAAAATAATAATTTTTTTTTGCAGAAATACTTTTTATTTAAAAAGCAAATGGTAGCTGTGTTATAGTTCATCCAAAAAATAATTGTAATTTTAAAAAAATTTCGAATCACTTTTCACTACGGCCGCAAGAGAACAGGAACAACCGCAATCTCATTGATAACATCCTAGCAAACTATTGTTAAATCTATATAAATTAATATTTTTAGAATTATAAATATTTATTTTTTATTTAATAAGTTATTTAAAATTTAAATTTAAATGAAAACCGGATAAAAATATTATTTGATTAAAATTATTAATTTATTGAGTTTTAATTTATCAAGAATATATTTCTAATTTGAATAGATCATAATTATCTTTTCTTTATAATTAATTAATTAACAAAACTAATATTAATAATTATTGTGTCAATTCAAGAATTGACCGATCAACTCTTGGTTTGAATAAGATATGAAAAAATCAACCTGAAGTTACATGTTTTAACTTGGAAGTTGCAACAAATTGACTTAGGGTTATTTTTGAAATATAATTATAGTTTATTTTCATGTTTAAAATATATTAAAATAATATTTTTTTTATTTTTTAAAAATTATCTTTAAAATCAATGTATTAAAAAAATTAAAAACATATAAAAAACGAATTTTTAATAAAAAATTAAATTTTTTAAAAATATAGGTTCATCTGTATTCCTAAATAGACTTTTAATAGATTAAATTATGACTGAATTTTTCAGAAAAATTCTAATTTGATTTAAATAAAAACTAAATTATATTAATTGAGCCAGATAAACCCACTCAATGTACAAAACAAGTTTAATATATAAATAATCAAATGTTAACAGATGGTAGTGCATAGTTTCATTGTTTTATTTTTTTTTCTTAATCCTTGAGATTCAAATTGAACTGCTTTAAAAATTATCTGACACAAGTAGAAACGGATTGAGTAAAGGTCACGCGAATGGGATGAACTAATCAATGAAGTTCAAGTGGCGACAGGAACGAATGAGAAGGTCCTTTTCGTTCGCAACCTACTAGGGCTACTGGAGGGCTATGTTCAACGAATGTCTTGCAGTCCCTTGATCCCCAAGCCATAAACTGCACACCCACCCTCGCGTTTAAATATCTGCCTCCTGGTCTTGAGTTCGTGGCCTGGTGCTCTTCACAAGAAATTTCTTGTATTATTGTCCGGGTTTGAATTGTTTTATATATCTCTCTGTTATTTTTATAGTGTTTTACTTGTTTATTAAATTTATTGGATATTTAATGAATTTAAAAATTAATTATAGTGTGTATAAACTCAAACACCTAAATTATATAAAAAACATATATATCTGCATGTTTTTAACCATTAAAAATAATCTAATAAAACCATTCAATTATGACCAAAACATCATTCTACAGACGAGAAACTAAGACGCAAACACATGTTTTTATTTGAAACAAATTTCCCACCCAGTTCCCTTTCACCGCCGGAATTCTATATATTATCGCTCTCAAAATCTTGTATTTATAAGGTATTTGCCTCCATCTTTTCAACATGCAGTACATTGCCTCGCCATTAGGTCATAAAGCTTAAGGAATATAGTTGAGGGCGTGCCCATAAAAAATGGTTGAAGTTGGATTATAAAAAAAAAAAAAAAATTATATTCTATTTGCAGGTTTAATTTTTAGAATACCATTGTATTCGCATATGCCAGTAATAATATTATACTGAAAAACAAAAAAAAACTTGTATAGAAAAATAAAAGGAAGAAGATGTTTTTGGGACTTTAATGTGGTAAAGAAGAAAAAATCGATGCAGTGGCCACATATACAAGTCATTAGAAAAGAGATGAAAACAATAAATACGAGAGGCTTAGAGGAAGGAAGAATACGAAGAAGAAAATTTTATGAATCTATAAAATAGATGATCTACAGGCTCTTCAGGGGAGAAGCCTAACTCCATCGATTCATTTCGTGGGATGAGTTTCACTTTATAAACTTGTTTAAATAAGCTAATTTTTTTTTAACAAGTTTAGATAACTTGCATTTTTAGAATTCCATGCGGGTATCTTATTATTTCATATTAATTTAATATATTTTATTTTAATTATAATATAATTTAAAAATTACACTTTAGCCTTTTCCTTTTATAAAAAAATATAATTCATGAATTATAAATACCATATAAATTCTTTAAACTTTAGGTTAATAATATCTTTATTTTTAATATTTTTAACTTAAATATTTTTAAAGTTTATCTTTTTAAAATATAATTGTATTTTTTCTCTACAAAGTTATTCATTAAAGCATATAAAAATCTTTATATTTATCAAATGAAATATTTTACAAATATCAACTACCAATTACCTAAATTTTTAATATCAAACCGCCAAATATCTTAATTAAAATAAATAAATCACATTACTTGAATTAAAAAATTAATTGAATATCTAATATATTAATTTTATTTCTACTCATCTTGGAAGACAAACCTTACTTGAAAATAAAAAAAAATAAAAAAAAGGATGGGTGTCTGTTGCTTATTTGTGTATAAACTTATTTATGAATATATTAAAATAATATATTTTTTATTTTTTATGTAAACTTGTTAAAATAATCCAAACACATAAAAAATTAATTTAAAACTATTTAAAAAAACATAACTAAACCACAATATCAAACTATATACATTAGAAAGAGGAACTTTAAATTCTTACTCACTCAATGTAAAGGCATCCATCCACGGAAAAGAAATAAAATTGAAAAAAAAACCATTATAGAAAATGAATGAATTAAATAATCAATCAATCACGTAAATCACTGCAATTAAATATTTGATGCTTGATTGACAAGCAAAATTGTCAAGGAGAATTAAAAAAACTCCACCTAAATCTCGTCAAACAAGGATCCCAACTGAAACTGTCTGCGACCCTGCAAATTCATCTCACCAACAGAACTGGTCTCTCTTTTAGCCACGTAACTTACAACGGGTTTGAAATGATATTTTTTAAAATTTTAATTTTTTATATTATAAATTTTTTTATTACTTTAATATTAAAAATAGTTTTAAAAAATTTTTAAAATATATTATTTTAATATATTTTAAAACAAAAATATATTTTTAAAAATGACCACTCCAACACAATTTAAAACCTTCCTATAAATCGAACCCAGAATTTGAACTTATAATACCTGTGACGGTCTCTCAAGCACTACCCCACCATTTATGATGTGTGATTAATGATTTAAAGTTTTGAACTTTGTACAATACGAAATGGGTTGGCGCGTGACTTACTTGGGGACCAAGTTCGAGACCATTGAACCATCTCTTCCCCCTAGCCAACCAGAATTGCCGCGTGTCATAAATTTAACCATCTATTTTTCTAAATGCGGCGAGTGGTCTGGGATTTCCCATTTTAATCTCCCCCTTTGTAACTACCCATCCAAAAATGAAAAATGATGCTCGTAATATTTTATTAATTATTTTCTAAATTTATCTTGAAAATAAAAATAAAGAAAAATGAAAGAAAAATTCATAATTTAGAAAAATCAATAAGAATATTTTTTAAGATTTTTTTCTTTTAATTATATATATTTTTTTAAATAAACATAAAGAGTAACTAATAAGATCACTCTCTCATCCAAACCATTTTTATCCAAAAATTCAGCCAATTAAAAATCTTATTAAGATTTCGTTTCGTAATTTCACTTTCACACTCTCTAAACCGACATATTAAAAAAAAAAAACTTGAAAAGCTAAAAGAAAAAAATGAATAGGGCTGGGCTCTCTGTTTCTTAGGATATTCATATAAAACTGCGATTCCTAGGCCTTTTGACGTTTGACTACGAAACTCTCTCCAATATCTCCTCATTTCTCTCGTTATCTCTCTGTTAATCCCTCTTTTGCCCACTCTCCTCCACACTCCCTCAGCAGCCCCCCTCCTCTCTATCTTTCTATCTACCCTCTTTGCCTGTACCCTCTAATTCTCGCATCAGTTGTATGTATATATATTTGTGTTCTTAAAGCGTTTTTAATACTTCCTATTTCTAACGTTTTGTATGAAAATTTCCCATCTTTGATGTTTTCATCTAAAATCCAACCCCATAAGCCTTGATTCCAGTGAAAAAATGAATCGCTTTTCTACCAAGTACACAGAGCATAAAACAGTGACCAACAAGCTGGTGAAATGGGAGGACTCAAAAGCCACAAGAATAGTACGGATTTCAGTTACAGATGGCAATGCTACGGACTCATCTGGTGATGAAAAGGAGGAATCGAAAAGGCATCATCCAAGAGTCAAAAAACATATAAACGAGATAAGAATAACAAGTTGTGGGAGCGACAGAGCAGCAGAGGATGCAAAAAAAATTTCAAAAGTGGTAAGCCGGCAACAAGTTGTGAAAAAAATTTCAAGGGATCAATGTTCTTATCCAGGGGGGAAAAGGTATCGTGGTGTGAGACAAAGGCCATGGGGGAGGTGGGCAGCAGAGATCAGAGACCCTTATAGGAGAATCCGGCTATGGTTAGGGACTTATGATACAGCAGAGGAGGCAGCCATGGTTTATGATCAGGCTGCTATTCGTATTAAAGGACCTGATGCACAAACCAATTTCACAAAACCTCCGGTGAGCAAACAACATGCCCCAGATGTTGATATTAACGTTAACATTTCTGGGTATGAGTCTGGTAAAGAATCTCATAATAGTCTGTGTTCTCCAACTTCTGTGCTTAGATTTCAATCTACAGAGGAACTGGGGCCACAGTCACAGGCTGCCGTACAGAGTGATTGTTGCTGGAGGATACAAACGCAAGAAGAGGTGGTTCAAGAAGAAATTATTAAGGTCGGTGAGGATGATGAGTGTTTGGTTACAGATCCTTTTTGTTTGAAAGAGTTTTGGGATTTTGAAAATCCTGCTCCGATTTTTTTGGAGGAGTGTAGTGTACCGGATACTGTTTTGAGAGAAGATTATGCTGATATCTCGGTACATTTGGATGGTGATTTGGGTTCCTGTTTATGGGATGTCGACAAGTACTTTGAGGCTTAATTACTCTCCATTTGGGTTTAAGGTTATAGCTACCTACCTACTGATATGATGGTTTGGTAAATTCCGAGGGGAGTTTTGGATCAGTACCGCCCTGTTTTGTTTTTCCGTTTTAGATGTAGTAGTTTTGTCTAAAAATTGTAAGTTTTAGCAATCTTAATTAATAAATTCCGAGTATAATTTGAATTTAAAAATAACACCCGATTATCAAGCTGTTTTTATATAATTAGTTCTTTGAAGCAATATTGATTTTTTAAAAAGTTATATGTGTTTTTATTATAATAGGATTGGGTTGATTATTTTCAAAATTTAAATAATTTTTGCAACTAAAGAAATAATTCAAAAAAAAAAGAGTTATATATGTTTTCATTATGTCTATTTTATGACTAACTTGGTTTGTTTATTTGAAGCGAGGTAAGATGAAACCACAAATCACCACTTCAGTTGCATGGTCGATGGAAAATAAACGTAGCCTAATTTAAGGAACATTGCTGAGAGAGACAAAAATATTACCTCCACAAGTGAAAGGGACAAAAAAGAAAAATAAACGACAGATAGAGGGGCCAGCCTCCAGCGGAACATTTTCGTCGCGGTACATACAAATCACCATCCCGCCATGACGTGGCGCATGAATCCTGCAAGCTGAATTCCTGCCACTGATACCTCAAGCTTCTACCAGAGACAACGCCCCTACCCCTGCCTCCCTCTCCCTCTCTCCCTCTCCCTCCCTCCCTCCCTCCCTCTCTCTCTCTCTCTATATATATATATATAGAATGACCATGTCCTCGTGAATGTTCAAAAAACATTTTCCTTCTCTTAATGATCTCACGCAAATTTCAATTTTCTCAGATCCCACTGCAGATCTCCTTTTTCCCCGGAATTTGAAATCTCAGCAAGAAATTAACCTGATCAACGTTACTTCTGCCATTTATCAGTCAAGGTAATTTTGCCTCAATTCTCCGGCATTTTGGTGCGTGCGTCGAAATTTAAGGGTTGCTTAGTTGATTTTTTGAGACTAATGATGTATTGATCAAGTTAGAACTTGAATTGAAGTCCTGGACTTTCTTCCTGGTTAAATCATTCTTTTGATTTATAGATAATTTCTTGACAAACAGAACAGACCAAATTCAAGATTGCCATCAATGGCCGGCAAGCCAATGAAACCAGTTCTCCAAAGACCACCAGGTTACAGAGACCCCAACCTCCAGGCAAAGCCTGCCCCGAGACCGCTACCGACAAAGGCATTGCTGCCTCCTTCATTCCAACCAAGGAAAAGACGGTCCAGGCATTGCCGTCTATGCTTATGCTGCTTAATCCTTCTCCTTATTATCGTCATTCTCCTGATGATTATCGCAGGAGGTCTATTTTACCTCTGGTTCGATCCAAAACTCCCCGTTTTCCACCTCCAATCTTTTAAATTCTCCGCTTTTAACATCACCAAGAGATCAGATGGCACGTACCTTACCGCCAAAATGGTTGCAAGAATCGAAGTTAGGAATCCTAATGAAAAAATCATCTATCATTTTGGAGAGTCTAAAGTGGAAACGACAGCGGGAGACGACGAGGTTAATTTGGGATCGACGACCTTGCCTGAGTTCACACAGGGAAAAGAGAATACGACTAGTTTGGAAATTGAAACCAGTGTGAACAATGAGCTGATCGAGGATGGAATTGGATCGAAGATTCTTGATCAGTTCACGAGCAAAAAACTGAAGGTGGATATGGATGTGAAAACGAGTATTGGAATTGATGTTGAAGGGGTGAAGACAGGGTTGCTGGGAGTGGAAGTTCTGTGTGGAGGTGTAACGTTGAAGGAGACCAATACTGAGATGCCAAGATGTATCATAAGCACGCTTAAATGGTAAGTTTTCTATTTCTTTCTGATTTTTATTTTTTAATTTGTTCCGTGAGAATTTTAGAGATTAGAATAGATTTCGAATGCACAAATTAAACTTTGGGTTTGGTTTAGGATGTGATTAGATGATTGGTAACTTTGAACTTCAAGCCTGATATAGTTGTAGATTTTGAGAAACGATAGTGGCCACTTCCGTGTGATGATATTTCGGAGCGTTTTGCATCAAGAAAGACCCAATTGTCAGGTCTTAAAGAATTGAAGCCTGATGATCTTCACCTTCCTTGTCTTCTCCCCCCCCCCCCCCCCCCCTCTCCACAGA